TGCAGTGAGAACCCACCCGCAGCCTCTGTTGTCCTCCTGGCACCCACTCGATCTCATTCCAGGCCCCACTGGTCCCCTCTTCCTCCTCTCCATCCCATCACCCCCACCCCAGGCCCGCTCCATCACACACCTGCACCTCTGACCCTTCCCAGCTTACTCCCCTCCCCACCTCTAAGCTCTCCGACCCCTTGCTCAAAACATAACTTAGTGGTAACACTCTTCGAGCTCACAAAAACCTCAGGATTCAACGCCCTGCAGGCTGTTCCCACAGCCCACGCTGTGATTAACATGCACTTGTCTCTCCTCGCCATTTGTGCTTGTGCCTGGATAGGACATCTCTAGAAGATACAAGACACGGGTAAGGGTGGTCAACTTTAAGGGACACCTCTTGAGTCCTTTGAATTTTGTACTATGTGCATGAAAAGTCTATATAAAATTAATGGATTAGCCTTAGTAACAGTGACCATGAAAAACAAAAACCAACAAACAAGTCCTGGCTCCACCATTCCTAGTTCTGTGACCTTGGACAACTTCCTTAAGAACTCCAAGCCTCAGTTTACTCGTCTATAAAATGGGACCTTACGAAGTTCCTATCTTATAAGATAGTGATGGGTAAGTGCTTGTGAAGCACTCAGCACTCTGCATGGCTAACAGTCAAAAAACCCAAAACCCCGTGGCCGTCGAGTCGATTCTGAGTAGAACTGCCCCCATAAGGTTTACCAAGGAGTGGTTGGTGGATTCGAACTGCTGACCTTTTGATAAGCAGCTGCAGCTCTTAACCACTGCATCACCAGGGCTCTGGCAAAGAATCAGGACTCAGTAAATGTGAGTGATGACCTTCTTTTCTTTGCCAATCTTCTCCACAAAACTCTGAGCTCCTTGCCAACAAGAACCACAATATTCAACTGTGGATTCCAGAGCTTTGCACAGCTCCTGGCATGAAATGCTCCCCAGAGTCTACGGGATACAATTCACGGTCTTCAGGGTGGCATTCAAGGCTGCTCCCTGGCTAGCCACTGCCTGCATGTCCACCAGCATCTCTCAGCCATACTCCAACACACAATGCCCTCGGACAGCTCTACCCTGTGTGCACGTCCCTAACGCTTTCCTCCCTTCCAACCTCATACTCCTTTCCCGGCCTGGCAACCTGTAAACTCGTCTCATCCTTCAAGCTCCTGCACACGGTTCCTCCTCTTGCAGCCTTCCTGCCGCCGCTGGTAGACTCAGTCACCCCCATGGCACTTGGTACAGACCTCTTAGCCACATATACCAAACAGTTTTGTTAGCGATATACTGGCAGTCTCTCCCTCCTCCCACCATTCTCGGGGTCCCGGGGGCTGTGTTTTTCATCCCTAGTGAACTCAGGAAGTGTTTGTTGAATGAATGAATGAGTGAATGAATGAATCAGTCCTGACCACTCAGCCTCCTGGCAGCTTCCAGGGGCCAAATTATGGTGAGTCACTCATGCTCTGCAAATGCCACGTGGCAAGAATGGTGACCTCCTCTCTTTGCAATCTCTGCCACCAGCTGCAGCCCAGAGTCTGCATCTCTGAGCCTGAGTGCACCCGGGGAGTCTTCCAGGCCTGGCCTGGAAGCTGCAGCTGGCATGCGCTCAGGACTACAGCCTCAGGGAGCTGAGTGGCCTGCAGGGAGCCCCCCTTCCTCTCCTCTCCCTGCTGCAGGTCTGCAACGAAGTTCAGCAGCATCAACTGAAGCCCTCTACCAGGTGCTGGGCTCAGAGTGGAGACAGGAAGATGAACAGGACACAGTCCCTGCCTTCAAGGACAAAGAATGATGGTGGAGACAGATGTCTGGGTCTACCCCATTCAATCCACCATTGATGATTCACTGAGCACCTACTAGTGCCGCTCAGCTCTGTGCCTCCGTTTCCTCCTCAAATGAGATGGAAAGACCCACGCCATCTGACAGCAGGATTGTTCAGCAGGTGGAACTAGATAATCTCTGTAAATTGCTGAATAAACTATGAAGCCCTGCATCGATGTTATTATTGTTGTTTTTATACATATTAATATAACAATAATGAGTAATTGAGCTCCCCTGCTCAACAGCCACAGTGTAGGTGTTTGAACGTAGTAGGCGTTTAATTGATATTTGATGCATTGAAATGCAGTTCAGGAGCTGGGCATGACATTTCATGACTTGGGGAGCAGTGCCATCGTGTGGCCAGAGTGCAGAACAAACAGACCTGGTAAATAG